CTTTCTAATGGAAAAGCTACCGATGCACTGCGGAACGTACGGGCGTATGCGCCTGCCTCCACATGACACGTAGAATACATTTGCCGAGGGCAGATAAAGGTACACAACAATTGGCATATTTAATACCTGATATACTAATCAAACACCCAAACATTAAAGAAATTATTCCAAACTTTGTGTCTAATTACAGGTATAACTATTTATTCAAAAAGTACCTTCTATTATGCGCAACAAAATACATATTTAAACATATATGTGCAATAAATTAAACCACTTCTTGTATGCCTGTTATAAGTCGATTGTTTAAAATGTCCCCCTTCTCTTTGCGATATATTCAACTACCTCAACGATGTTGTAGCTACTGTATAAAAATTGTGTACTTTTTCTTTCCTATTCACTGTTTATTGTTGGTGAATTGTGTGTGTGTATGTGTGTTTTTTGTTTTTTTTTTCGTGATGAGCTGAGCATTGTCAACTGGCAACGGGGCCACGTTGGGCAGAGCATATTTGCCTTTTGCCCGCCCTGTTATCGGAGACTGTAAAGTCTGAACAAACAAATACACAAACAAACATCCAGCGTCACGCTTGTTGTTCTGATATCGCTAGCCCGCGCTCTGCGCAAGCCTTTAGGCGTCTGACATCCAGACCTTGGGGGATATTTTGGTCTTACATGTAGCGCTTCAAACGGCGCACGTAAACAAACACGATTGAAAACCATTTTTGATCAGCTGGCTCCATCTGTGTGTGTTGTCACGAAACTGTGGCTTGTCATAACTGAATGAGAAAAGTTTGATGCCCTGTAATGAAGTAAGCGTGCAACCAATCGATATGTAATTTTCATCCAATGCAATATCAGGAAACGCTTCGCACTTTAAGGGGTATTCACAAGAGGGAGAAATCCCGGGGATTTCTCCCCGGCACGCGCGCATCACGAGATGAAAACACGAGGCTTTTGCGCATCACAAAACCTGATGTTTTCGTCGTGGGATGTGCGTGACGGGGAGAAATCCCCGGGATTTCTCCCTCTTGTGAATACCCCTTTAATGTCTCTAAATTTGCTTTCGTTCGCACACATACGTTTTTATAACGCAGAAAAGTAATGCTATTTTTAACTTTATTTTTTTTTTTTATTTTGTAACTTGAAGTGTTTATTTCGTCAAATATATAATTTTCGAGATTGTAATGTTTAATAGCTAAACATAAGCGTTTCGTGTGAATTGAATAACTGTAGCTCAAGAAAATAAATGTTACATTTTGAAAGTGAGGTCCACTAAAATATAAATGGGAAAAAGGTGCTAAAGGTAACCCTATTTTCTAGACATTGAATCGTTATTGGATGGCAGCTCTTTAATTTGGTATAAGGGATATAATTCTGCCTAGCATACAGAAAACGTTTAAGGCTCTCAAAAAAAAGCATATTGCCTTGATCGATGGGGTTGCACCCAGGGGTTTCCCCAGGAGTTGAAATAAGGGGGGTGTCTTAATTTTTTTGTGGGGGTTAAAGGGGGGGGGGGGGGGGGGGGGCATTGCGAATATAGGAGTCGTTGTGAATTAAGGGGGTGGCTTCGGAAAAACGAAGGGGGGTGCTAACCCCCAGGGAAATCCCTGGTTGCACCTTAATATGGACAGATTCCTCACAAGATTTAAATCCGTGAAAGGATCTCCTAACGGAAATGCCAGAAAAGTCACCCAGATAAAATTGGCATTCGTACATAACAGTGCCCTCATTTCGAAGTATGTACATCGTTGCATAGCACACAGGACACGTGACGAAAATAATCCCTGGAGAAGGGGAACAAGAGGGACAAAGGACAAACACAAAACTCGTCTTGTCCCTCTTGTTCCCCTTCTCCAGGGATTATTTTCGTCATTCTTGTCCAGCTCTCTTGCACCTTTGCATTTAATTTCATTATAAACAGGACACATATTCTTTATTGCTAAGCATTAACGCGCACTATGGCAGCAGCACCAGCAGAATCAGCAGGAGTACAGTAATATAAGCCCTAACTCTGGCATATTCACCCAGATATGCCAGGTCAGAACCGAACAACCAGCAGCGAATCCTAAATCTAGCATTTGCTCGGGGATTGACGCCCAAATATATCACGTGACAACCGAACGACCAGGCAGTGAAGCCAAACTCTGATACTTATTTGGCGACGCCCAGACTCTGGCCGAATAATTTCAGCCTTGGTTCTTCCTCGGCGTCATACGACATTCCCAAAACCACCCACGAAAAAAAAAAAAAACTACACACACACACACTTGAGACGGTTGTTAGAGTTTTTAAAACATATTATTCGTAAAGTCTGTCGACGTTTCGGCCTGCTCACTCTCTTTTGGTGTCAGCGTTTTCGTTTCGCTTCTGTGCCCTAATGCTTTAGTGGACTCAAAATGGCAGAGCCTCTTTCAAGTGCCCTAGGTCCCATCGTCTTCGGCAATTCCAACATATATATATATATATACATATATATTGGGACAGGCTGCACCGTATATATAACGGGAATGAGTGAAGATTGACAAGTGCAGCCGCAGTAATATTGTGAAGGAAGAGGGGAGAAGGTGATTATTGAATTTATTGCATTAAAGTTAGGGAAAGAGAAAGGGAGCTGGCGAAAAATTGGGCCAGGAGCGGGGATTGAACCCGCAACCTTCGCCTGTCCGGGGCGACGCCTTAACCGATTAGACCATCCCGGTCAACGGGTTTCAGCGTACTCAATTTCTGACCAGCTCTCTGTGTACTGTTTAGTTTCGAATTCGCTTCACTTGGTAGACGACAACCGTTGCTGATTTAAGGCCCGCGCTATTTCCGATATGTGGCAGGGAGAGGGATGCATAAGCCAACCCTCCCTTGCACTGACTGAGGCCGAGTTGGCGTTTCTAAAGACAACGACACGTGTCAACACGTAAACATCGTGATTTTAGTTTTTAAGATGTGTAGTATGACAACAAGGAGCTGCGGTGCGCATGAGCGATCGGGGGGGGGGGGGGGGGGGGGGGGTATGTGTTTTGTGTTTTCTGAGGTTCCAATAAAACCTATCAGTTGCGAGTGAGCGCTCGTCCGTCGTTTGTGTTTCCTATTCTGTCCTCGTCTTTTGTGCGCTTTTAAATACCAAGATGAATAACTACCAACTAGTCCAACTTTCCACCCTACTGCGGCAGTGACCTGGCACGTCATTTCATATATATATATATATATATATGAGATGACGTCATCTTATATATCTATATATGAGATGTATATATATATATGCCATATATATATATATGGCACGTCATCTCATATATATATATATATATATATTCTAAAAATTAGGGCGATTGAAAAAAGAAGAAACTCCCTTCGGGAACAAACTACCAGCCACGGCGGACGTCAGGAATTGCCAAAAACCTACTAATTAGCCAGATAATTAATTAAAGCTTCTTAATAGACTTTTTAATTACTGGAAATAGACATATGATTCCAATTAGAAAGTTGCTGAGCGTTCTCAAAAACCATTAAATCACTCATTTTCAGAAACACTTTGAGCGCGTGAGACGAGTAGTAGCGCACTAAAGTTACCACTCGTAAAGCAGGTACAAGGCTAGCGGTTGCGGTAAGGCGCCCGCAGCGATTTTTCCGCCTCTTATCTAGCGCCAGCTTTGTACCTGCTCCACGAGTGGTAATTTTAGTGCGCTACTACTCTTCTCAAGCGCTTAGAGTCTTTCTGAAAATGACTGATTTAGAGGTTTTCGATAACGCTCAGCAACTTTCCAATTGGAATCATATGTCTATTTCCACTAATTAAAAAAGTTAATTAACAAGTTTTAATTATTATCTGGCTAATTAGTAGGCTTTTGGCAATTCCTGACGTCCACCGTGGCTGGTAGTTTGTTCCCGAAGAGAGTTTCTTCTTTTTTCAATCGCCCTAATTTTTAAAATTTTTGAAAGTCTTTTTCAAAAACACCCGGTATATATATATAACGGGCATGGTGCGGAAGGCCGAAGGCGTGGGTATATAACTGGAAAGAAAAAACGCTTCGTTAAAACAGCAACAACGGACGATTTATTCTTCGACGTTTCGGCTGGAGTCCGGCCTTCGTCAGGAAGACTGACGAAGGCCGGACTCCTGCCGAAGGCCTTACTCCGGCCGAAACGTCGAAGAATAAATCGTCCGTTGTTGCTGCTTTCACCAAGAGGTTTTTTCTTCTCAGTTATATATATCAGCACTAGACCTTTGTTACTCCTGGCTCATAAACACATTTCCATTATGTGAGTACCTGCTGCGGAAATGTCTTCGTAAAAAAAGGAAGTCGGCGAAACCTTGAAACGATGTAAATGAAGCCCACGTCTTTGCCAACTAATCCCGCGTGTAAACGCGCCGTGTGAACCCACCAAAAGTTCGATTCTAATCTTGAAACACCAAGCAAGCTCGCTTCCTTGTCGGCGGTTCGTCGCCTTTTGTCAACATTCATTGTCTCCCACGAGAACAATGCCGTGACTACGTCATGGCGACCTTCTGGATGGCGTCGCCCAAAACACGCATACGCTTTCTTTGCCGCCGGCTTCCAGAGGAAAGAGAAATTCAGCAATCTTTGCACGAGGCCTTTTTAAGCCCGAGACGAGCTTCCTCTAAAGTGCACACAAGAACTCGAACAGCGTGACGTTGACAGTCCAGACAGCCGCACTCTTACTCGGACGACGGTGGCGAGCCGACCGCAGTTCCAGAGGTTGCCTTGCTGCTCGCTCTCTTTTGGCGTCAGTGTTTTCGCTTCCTTTCGGCGTCCTAATACTTCAGTGGACTCAAAATGGCGGAGCCTCTTCAAGTGCCCTGGGTCCCCATCGTCTTCGGTAGAGTGTTGACAAGGTGGGCGCCTCACCTAGTCGCTGCTGGGCTCGCGTTGTTCATCTTGCCCTCGTTTCTGCGCTGGCTTCGAACCTGGCAGACGCTGCGATCGATGCCCGGTCCATCGGATACGATACCCTTTAGGTTTCTTTTGGCAATTTATTGGTCCCGGAGGATGTACATCAACGTCAACTACGCTACCGCAGGTATGTCAATGTTCTCTGGGTTCGTGTTTTTATAGCGGCTTTCGCGACAAATGTGACGTATGTACACTGCAAGTATACTCCGCGACACCGTTAAGCAAAAACAAGCCATTACTGTTTGTTCGTTTGTTTTATCTTTTCAATATTAAAAAGCTTCCATAAAAATTACCATAGCGATGGAAAAGGCTGAGCTGGGGTACTAACCTAAGTGGTAGGTTGGTATGTCCGCCGGGATTATTCCAATATAAAAAAGTGTTACGCAATAAACTACTGTCGCCAAATAAAAAGTTTCTGGTATGATTGTCTGATAACCATATCGGAGCTTATGCAAAATTAGATAAGTTTCATATAGGTTCTTGTATGATATTGCCTACTTGGCGAGCGCGCGCGGCAATATTTTATCTGCTCGTGTGCTTATTGGGCGCATAAATATAATTAATTGTTTTTACTATCATGGTGAAGTTATGGTATATATGTGTTCAGATACGGTTGATGACATTAGCCGGAACTATAGAAAAGCATTATGAATAGGAATAAATAAGGAAGGACAATAAACTTGAAAATGTGAGTAGGTTGGAAGTCGACAGGAATTGTGACGCGAAAAATAGTAGAGCGTTATTTGTCTACATTGGCACACAGGCTCGTTGTTACACTGGGTTTAGGTTCCTCTAGTTCCTCTGACGTTTGTGTCTCGAGCATATTTTTGAATTAAGAAAGCGACAGGTGGCCTTTGTTAAAATTGATAGCTTATATTTTACCATATTTATTTCCTTTACTTTGTTCCTTGGAGGTACTATATGTGGTCCGTGCTATGTTGTCCGTGAAAATACGACACCGTCATTTAAATAACGTAACGTTTGAAAGGCATGTTCGTGAGGCATATTTGTATGTAGTTCATCTTAGCCACACAATGTACACCTCTTGCGTTTTACTTTGACAAGTTTGAAGAGATCGCGGCAGTTTCATATGTACGCGCGCGTTCTCTACAAAAGCACGGCCAAGTTATACCAATTAAAATATAAATGTGAAGCTTGCGGAGCTATTCACAATTGCCTAAATGCTTTTTAACCGTTTTCAAGGATTTTCTTATACTGTACTTCGATTTGTATGCTTTCACGTCAGTATGTTTTAGGTCAGTACTACATTACCCACTAAGCCTGTCACTTGGTTTTCGCCTTGTCAAGAACCAAACTAGAATTTTTTTATTCCGTCCTGTTACTTATCTGTTCCAGAGCTTTTCAACATTCTATTGGGTGCCTGTGAGCTCTTCAAAAACAAGACCTTTAAAGTTTACAATTGGATGATGCCATTAGTCATGATACAGACAGCTGAAGCAGCCGAGGTACGTTATTGAAAACTTAAGTCCAAACCATTAAAAATATGGTGTTCTGTTTGTATCACCTCTGTGCTCTCAATAGATGTTTTTTTTTTCTTTTGGTGTATCTTAGCCAATGGCGCTTTTTGTGTTTCAAACATACTAACTACTGTAGGCTGAGAGTCAAGAATTTTTAGTCTGTAGTTTTCATCTGCGAAGGTCGAGCCGTGGACAATAAATTCAATAGAACAACTTGTGAAAACTTGGGTTTAGCCAATCAGTGTGCTCCAACTGAATTTGAAGGTGTAATTAAGAACAGAAGGATTGAAACCTTTTTCTACTTTAGCGTAAAAGGGATTGAGCAATTAAAGAAAAACGTGTCCTCAGTACGCTTCTTATAAGAATAATTTGTTAAGAAAAAAGTTTAAACTTCTTGTTGTGATTGTTTTAGCTGTGAGACAAGCTTTTCGAGAAAACGTCTGGTCACTTTCTTTCGAGTGATTTAAAATAAAACCTATGAAAGCTGACACTGATGCAAGTCCGATATCAAAACACTAAATTTTCAATGCCATCTCGAGTGAACAAATTTGACATTTATGATAGCTCTGGGTCATTTAATGGAGCAGTAAAATATCCTAAATGTTTGTATGCCCTGTCTGCATTGTGCACGGCAATAGAAGGCTCCGTCTGGTTTGCATGTTTCACATTATAAAAAAACAAAGTAAGTCACAATGCCTTCATCACCGCATGTGGAGTCCCGACAGGATCTTTAATTTTCTACTAACATTTCAGGATCCTTTGAAAATGACTCCAGCAAAGGTGGTGTTGTCGCGGATAAACTCACACTTTAGATATAAACGAACTAAAAATGTCTAACCCCCAAAACTACATCAACCTTGAATATGAAGCACAGCAGGTTATATGCAGAAACTGTTATTAAAATATTAATTTCTGGAACAGAAGGGACGCGCACAGGACTTTTGGAGAAGACTCCTGTATGACGCGACATTTTTGACCGTAATGAAAGTCTTGCCAAACAATATTTGTTCTTGGTAATATGCTTTCAAAAATATTCGGTGTTTTTGTGTTTTTTTATTGAAGAGAATAGCAGCTGAGACAATGTTCGTGGTATTTTTAATGATAACCTTGGATTTCGTAAAACAAACTGGGCGCAGGAATTCATTACATTAAATGTATTCCTATTCAAACCTATATAGGCTATTTATTTAATAATTATCGGGATCACAAATATAATGGTCATTGACTCGTATTTAAAAAACATTTACTTTATGAATTGGGATAGTGCACAACTCAGTTTTTGTTAGAACTGGTGTCTTCATTTGTTTTATACAGTACTTTTTTGGTATTTCAGACTTTGCTGAATAGACCTGGAAACTTTACCAAGCCCCTCATGTACACCTTTTTAATTCCCTGGTTGGGTGAAGAAAATGTCCTCACCGGGTAAATTTATATTTCTGTTTTCCACCTCAAAATAAACAAGCCACTAAACATTTTAGTTACTTTAAAATCGTTGTGTTACAAGTTATTATCAGTGTTGTAAAAATGTTACCACAAAGTCGCAAAATAAACACGACAGAAATATCATTAAATCTATATCACATCTTAATGTTTGAAAGGGAATTTGTAATTTTAGGCTGTATCTGCCTTTTTAGTGTGTCGTGTACGTGCGGTATTTTACTTCATCCCTATAAAAGGCACAATCAGCCAATTGAGAGAAATCGTTAGCCCCGTAGCCTATGCAAGTTTCTCAAGGAACAAGTTAGTATGCGAGTGTGCCGCATAATTCAGTTACTTGGTTGTGTGTGTGCTCCCTTACAAAAATTATCAATGCGTTTCAATTGAGTTTTTAATGTACTGTATAAGAATGCATTGAAAACTCCGTTGAAACACAGTGATAGTTTTTGTTGGGGCTAATCATTAAAAAAACTATTTAATCAAGTGATGGGCGCATCTTCTTCGTCAGTGTGCGAAATTTTACATATGAGAACAGAGCTTCCTATATAACCCATTTATGTAAATAAGATATCAACACTTAAGAATGGCATGAGGACCTACACACTGGTGACCTAAATATAGCCTTCCTTCCCCAAACACGATGTTGTCAAGAATAAATACCAAGATTCCCCCGAGGGCAATTCTCTCACTTTGAGAAAAATACACTCTGTGCTTCGTAGTAAAACACTGCCTCGGGGACATTCCTAAACATTTCTGCATTCCTAAACTGTCAAGCATCCTAATATATTGGATAAAATAAATAGGAGACTGATATATTTGAATCCAGCAGCATCTCTTTGTGCATAGTTACAGCCTCTCCAGTCGTCCCAAAAGTTACCACCGCGGATAATATGAGGTGAAACGCTCGATCTGGCCTTTTATATCTCAATTTGTCAGACTTCGAAGTATGCGATCTCAACTTTGCATTCCATTCGTAGGTCGGACCATTGTTCTCTCGAACACTGGCAGGTAGGCCAAAGAGGCATGAAGGATTGTTTTGGCTCATATTGAACGAAATAGTACACTGGCACGATCGTACGATGGAGCTTTTTTTTTTTTTTAACAGTGGGAAAAGACGGCAGGCCGTTGCGACGACTTTTTAATTTAACTTCAATCACCTGGTTCTCCTCGTGTGTATAGTCTGAACCAAGAACGAGAAAAGGAGAACTGAGAAGGAGCAAAAGCTAAAACGAATTACCTTAACCAAAGACGTCCTCGATTATACACTTTTTTCCTCAACAAGCGCGGCAGGGGGTAGTGCACAGCGGCAGTGTTAAATATCTCCGCTCTCTCCAGAACACCCCCGTAATTTGTACGAATGAGCCCTGGGATGCGAGTTTCCGGCTCTCTAGGGGAAAATGCAGATAACCTTGAGGCGGAAATGGCGAGAGCGTGGAGTCTACCTTTTATTCGTTAAAGGCGTTTCTCAGGTCACTTTCCTGGAGTGAGATTTCGTTCTAATTTATTCTTGATACTTAAATCTTGAAACATTCGCACACTTTGCGCAGTGTCTCAAGTTCTGTCGCTGGATGTAAGCAGTCGCAATGAACCGCCACAAACCGCTTTCCCACGTGCCCCAAAAGAACGGCAACCGCGCTTTCCTGTCACAGCTGCGATAAAAGAGAATTGTGTTTCTTGCAACTAGCCTTAACGTGGTCCCCCCCCCCCCCCCCCCCCCCCCCCCATCACGAAGCTTTACATTTCGTTTAACCTTAAGTCCGGGTGCACCCGACGCTACGAGCTGATTGGATCAATCAAACAGCGCCAAAATAGCAAGTGATCACTGGGCCTTCCATGTACGTGATTGGTTTAGGGACAACAGAAAACGTACAGAAACACTACGAACACCACGTCGTTGTGCTTTCGACACTGTTTGATTGCAATGTAAGCTGGAAACGCTGACAAAGCATTTTTACATAGGTCGATATCCTAGATGTCAATATACAAAGTTACAGCTACACTTGTATGAGCCTCTTACCTAGTACGATGTGCGCAAATAGAAAGAGTAAGTCACACGTCATGCTCATTGTTCCTCTGCTTTTGTGCTCTGTAAAATAAATAACGCACACAACTTTTTTTTTAGGGTTGAAGTGTCAGAAATATGTTTTACGTAATGCACATTTCCTTTGACCATTAGGACCGGAGAAAAATGGCGCCTCAAGCGCAAGCTGGCCACTCCGGCCCTGCACCTCAAGATGCTCGACAACTTCATGGACGTGTTCAACGAACACGGAAACATCATGGTGGACAAGATGAAGGAAGTCTCTGACAAGGCGGAGCCCGCCTCTATCTATCGTTACGTCCAGCGCTGCACTTTGGACATCACGGCGGGTAATGTTTCTGAAGACCAATCAACATGTACAACAACAAAAAAACAATTTACAGGGATTTTTCACCGCAAAAACAAACTGCACTTCGCCGAACGCTCATTATCCACCCAAATGTAGCGCTAGCAGTCCGAACCAGATGTCAAAGTTTCAGAAGAAATTTGTTATCTCATTGAAACGTTATAAGTGATTTGCCTGTTTTTGCCCGTTTTCAGTAAATGGCACCATTCACCTCCATGTATTCGACAGCTCCGTCGATCGTCATTTTCCTATTTGAAAATTTTTGGAAAATCACATAACTTTTGATTAAGATAACGGTTAGTTATGAGACTTTAGCATCTCGTTCGGACCGTTAGATCTACACTTGAATGCAGAATAAGCGTTCGGCGATGTGTAGTTTATTTTTGTGGTGAAAATAAAAAAATAAAAAACTGTACATTTTTTGGAAGGAACTCCTTGTATTAAGAAGCACATTTTGAAGGAATAACATGGCGTCAGAAATGTAACGCATTTGATCACGCTCAAACGCAATTGTGTGATGCAGCCTTCACGTGAGGTTACACCAATTTTAACTTCTCACGGCGGTACGCTTGTTTGGTGAATGCTTGTGCAATATAAATTATGTAAACCGCAAACGCCATCAAATTTCAAACTTTTAAATCGTAATTGATTCCTTCTGTGGTCACAACCCTTACAAAAAAAAAAGTTGCCCAGTCTATTGAAATCTTTGCGACTTCTTTACGATCCTTGCGACTTTCTTCCCTACCCACTTTCTAACAACGTATTTGTGTACATTCTGTGTACACCTTTTTCACACACGGGTCTATACACTGCAGTGGTTAAACTTTTTATCGAAATTGGATTCATTATTACCGCCCGCTTTGCATATACTTTTTATCAATGGTATTGTTCAGACTTTGTATAGACTTTGTTGAGGTAAAAGTCTGTACACTGCAGTAGTTACAATGTGTATAAAAATTGAATTGGTTTTTATCGCCCGCTATTTATATACTTTTTATCAATGGTAGTCTTCAGAGTTTGTATAGCCATTGTTGATACGAAAGCCTATACACTCCAGTTGTTAAAATATGTATTGAGATTGGATTAATTTTTATAACCCACTTTTTATATACTTTCTATTAATGGTAGTGTTGAGACTTCGTATAGCCTTTGTTGAGACAAAAGCCTATACACTGCTGTTGTTCCCTTATGTGTCAAATTTAGATTAATGTTTTATTCCTCATTCTTACATACTTTTTATTAACATCAGTGGTCTATAAAGCTAAATAACTTGACATATCTGTAATGCATAAAGAAGTGAGCTTCTTTTCACTTTCTATGAACAAAGAAATTATAAATACACAATGGGCAGAACTATGTTCTTTTTAGCCAAATGAACAAGATTCAAGCTTACATTGAGACCATATAGAACCACTCTACTGTGTAAAGAGCAACGTCCAAACGATGGGGCCGGAAAGCCTGCTTTGGACAAGACCAGGTTGGACGCTGTTATGGAAGTGCAATCATTCTATTCTTTTGGCCATTATAGATTATTTTCTTTTTTTTTTAATATTTTGAGATTTTTCTCTTTTCCGTGTTCCGAAATATCAGCCCCCGAATTTTCTACTTAATCTGACTTTTTTTTTTCTGCTCACCTCCTGTAAACCTTCACTACATTAGTCGGAAACATTTTAAATTTGCAACTTAAAGATTTACGAAAACATCTGTTATTTCTTCTATGCATGTTTTTCTGGACTCGGTTATCATTCAGACCTTACGTGCCTAGAGTCAGTTTGCAATAACAAATGGCGAAAATATAACTTTTTTACAGTATGACCGCCATACTTCATGAGGTCTGATCCCAGTCAACGTGTTATACACGTCCTGAATTAATTAGATCAAGTTAAAAATTGAGTTCCTTCGTGAATCACAACCTCCCAATCGTCTTTTAATACGTTCGGCGTCATTTTATGCTTCATGAAGTTGTATGAGAGGGCAGATTGTTTCGGCTATCCCAGCTTTTGTTCGTCCACAAAATAGATGTTGTAAATTTTATTTATCTTTTTACTGAGGCTCGAAAGTCTAGTCGAATAGAACGACCTATGAAAATGATCAAATGATCTTAACGAGAAGTTAGAAGTTTGTGACTCAGCAATCCAAAACCGTCACTTCTTTTTTCTTTTTCTTTTTTTTAGGGGGGAGGGAGGGGGACGTTTTTTGCGAATCACTTTGATAATGGTTTAATGATTGTTATTATATAAACGTGAATCTAAGCATGCATTTTTCACGGATCCTGGAAGCAGTACATAGCCGTTTCTTTTGCGCTGATGACATAATCGGAGTTCAAAAAACAAAAGGTGATGACGTGACTCAGAACAAGTTTAGACACCGAAATTTCCTGGACAATAGTCATTCAAGACGTTAATTATCACATTCCTTTTGCATGTATAGAAGGAAGAAAGCGGAGTAACTATTTGGACGTGGTTCAAAAAACATTATTACGCGTGTTTAGCATTGCGACAAGGATGTTTTCCTTTTCGGCGTGTGAAAATACAATCAGAAAACTTTTGTTAAAGCTAGCATGGTACTAGTAAAACAAGAATGCATTTCCGCTTTAATCTGATCTAACGTTAGCCAAGCTATGTCGTAGAAACCAGTGCAAATTTTACAAGACTGTGTGCGCATCTTGATATCAAAACCGGCTGCTGTAAATATGCAGGAGTTTTCACCAATAAAAATATTACATGGCTCAGCAATGGGGAATTTCAGCGCGGAATTCTCGAACATAAGCTCTTTAACCCAAACAATGTCCCATCAAAACTTCCTCCCAACGTACCCAGCCTTTTCTGAACACGGAGTAAAAATACGCTCTCCTACTTTAGCTAATAAATATTTATCTCTGACGTCATCAAGACGTCCTACGAAAATAAAGCTGGCATTGACTCAACATAATTAAGTGAATCGCATTTCATTATCGCTTCGCAACCAATGATATTGTTGCCTTAGCCGATGAGTGCGCCGATGGACCAATAACGAAGCAAGAAGGGTGAATATCATAAGCCACGCTCTTAGTTTATTGAGCCGTTAATTTCTGTAGTTATTCCTAATTATATATATATTCTTTTCCCTTTTGCGCAGAGCTCAGCACGGGAGTGAATCCTCATACACAAACCGACGAGTACAACGTTTTCGGAAATTGCCTAAGTCGGTACGTATAAACAACAACAAAAAAAAGCTTCGATCTTTTTATAAACGTCGAACAAGACAAAACTTCCGAGCAAACCTAAGCACTTCTTATGAGTTGTGAATGCAAAAGCATCAAAGTCGTTCTTCCGCCCCCTTAGTTTGTCTGCGGCGTAGTCGCTTGGACGGACATGTTCCGCCGGCGGACGGCCGAGCGCACGCTTTCGTGAAGTTGCCGCGCTGCGCTGAGCTCGGCCGTGCGGCCTCTCTGGAGTCTGCCCGGACGGGCTCTGTTGGTCCTGCCGCCACCGCTCCCTCCTACTACGGGCGACCGCGGCGCTGCGTGCGCTGCGCCGCTAAAGTCCCTTGATACTTCTTTTACGAGTAACGACAACCAATACAATGAACAAAGCACCATCCGCTGGAACAAAATGGCGGCATTCAGTTGAAACTAAAGTCCCTTGATACTTCTTTTTACAACCGATACAAATGACAAAGCACATTTCGCTGTAATAAATTGGCGGCATTCAGTTCAGTCCTCTGCTATGCGCCGTCATTCCCTTCCTAAAACCTGCACCGTCCCGCAGTCGGCGCTTCAAAGAATGTCGCTACCTGTAGAAAGCTCTTATCTAGGGACTTCATGCACCGCCATAGAGAGAGCTTCTCTGGTGACTTTTTTTTGCAATAACGCCGCAAGAGAGCCAATGGGGGCCTCGTTCCTTGATGTTGCGCGCCATTTAATGGGAGCATAATATCCATTGGAAATCAAAGTCAAATTTAAATTTGGGGGTTTTACGTGCCAAACCAACCACGGGCATCTGGCACGCCCCAGTGGAGGACTGAGGATTAATTTCGACCACCGGGGGATCTTTTGACGTGCAACCGAAAGCTCGGTAAAGGGGTGTCCAAACAGGACACTACAAAACGCGCGACTGCGACAAATCGTGAAAATTGAAGCGGACGCGCCCGCTTCGCGCCCGCTTCAATTTTCACGATTTGTCGGAGTCGTGCGTTTTGTAGTGTCCTGTTGGGACACCCCCTAACACGGCGCCTTCTCCGCAATAAGCTTCCGTCAGATTGCGGGTACCTCGGCCGGGATTCGAACCCGCCACATGGGGATCCGTAGGCTGGCGCTCTCGCCTCGAAGCCACCGAGGCGGCTTATCAGAAATCGGCTTCACTTGAGAAAAAAGATTTTAGGTGCCGTTCGGCCAACGTTTGGCGTGGTTTTAAAGCTGATGATGTCGGTTCGCTCCATGAGACAGTTATGCTTTCGCATTAAAACCTATCGCTGACCACAGGTGTAATTCTTTGGTGTATTTTTTTTTTTTCAATTTTGCAGGATGAATTTCCTTATCTGTGTGAGAGCGTTCAGGCCATGGATGTGGCCGCAGTGGATTTACGACCGGACAGCCGAGGGTCGTCTCTTCAAGTCAACCATGAACCTTATGGAGGGCTTCAGTGGAAGGGTGAATTGTTCAGACTCCGAGAGTTATAGTTCTGTCGGGTGTAAGCGGTGTCATTTTATGGAGCATATTTATTGGTTAGAAATTTATTTACAACAGTGGTGTCATGCCTAGAACAAAAAGAAAACGAAAACGCGCTAGCCGCCATATATCAGTGCGCTCGCTGTTCGTGGTGCATACTCAGAACGAGCTCACACATATAAGTTGATAAGAACGGCAATCTTGATGGTGAGCAATGCGCGGTGCAAAATGCACTGCGGAAGCTCGCCACCAGTTCGCACTCAGCGGAGTTAAGCGTGTTTCACATGCAGCGATTTTGGCTCTAAAGCGGCGCGATTTCTGCCGTCGCGGCGCTCGTGCCGCAGAATTGCTGGTGCTGGCCAGAGCGCCGCGACGGCAGAAATCGCGCCGCTCTAGGACCAGAACCGCTGCATGTGAACTAGGCTTATAGCGTGTTTCACATGCAGCAATTTTGGCCCTAATGGTACGTTTACCTGAAAAGAAATCCGCTGCCGCGGGAGCGGATCCGCTCCCGGCGGCGGCGTGACGAGCTGGTTGTGTTTACATCTATTTCCTTCGAGAAGTGGCGGCAGCGCCGGCTGCGGCAGCGGTTCCCGTAACGTCTCGTCAAATATGACGAGAAGGCGCGAGAGTTCCCGCCTCGGCTCTCTCTCTCCCGGGCGTTGCTGCTCTCGGAAGAACGCGTGCTCGTGACGTAGGCAGCGTCGCGCTGAACAAGAATGTCACATCCGGTCAGCGAAACGCCTCGTTCGGCGGCAAAAATAGATCCCGGACCTAAACGGCTCGCCGCCGCGTTTTCCGCCCAGCGTTTCGCCCCAGCGGCAAAAGCTGGGCGGATCCGCTGGCGGATCCGCAAATGTAAACGTACCATAAAGCGGCGCGATTTCTGCCGTCGCGGCGCTCGTGCCACTGAATTGCTGGTGCTGGCCAGAGCGCCGCGACGGCAGAAATCGCGCCGCTCTAGGGCCAAAACCGCTGCATGTGAACTAAGCTTTAGAGCGCCAGATAATATAAAGCAAGAAACAGAATACAAATGCTTCTCATTTACTAGTTTTCTGAGTATTAGCGAATCTACATACTTCATATTTAAAGCATCTGAAGAGTTTTAAGGTCTCCATTTGTAGGAGAGAGTTTGTCGTTAAATTCCTTTTCTTATCGTATATTTGGACTGAGGGTTCCAAAACAAATCGTCTCGTTGTTTACAATGTAGAACGCTTAATATGTAAAGACAAACAGGTGGAAAACGGTTTCTTTCACATTTTAGTGCTATAAAAATATTTACAAAACAGTTATATGAAAGTTATTCCAGCTGTAGTCGTTCAATATGCTCAAGAGAGTAACTAAAAACTATCAAAATAGCGAAAACCTGAAAATATTCCCAGAATGGGCTTGTAAACGCAGCCGATTTTTAATCTTCTCGGTCCCCGTGCTCCAGTTTTTGGCACCGCAGAACAAACGCGTCGACAGCCGTCAACGTTTTGCTTTTAGCCCGTTCTACTACAATTAAAAATTTGTAGTACAGTACCGTACTACTACACTTACGATATCGTAGTAATACGTTGCTTAGAAAAAAAGTAAATTATTAAGTATTACCCTACAAAACCTGTCCATACACTCCCCGGCTGAGATGTAAAAATAATACTTCTGGCGCTTCGTATCACTATAAAAAGTTAAAAGATAACCGTTTTGCTATTTATTTATGTAGTACTGCAGGCCTTATAAACAAATCGCTAGCGGGTAACATTAAAAATAAAAAAAAAACACACGCCATATAGTTGCAACGTTTTAAATTTGGCGAAAATAAAGAAATTGTGTAAATACACATCCGTGACATCAATGTTAATTAAGAAAGGTTCAGTAAGAACGATATGTGATTACACCGTCAACGTAATCCACCATCTTTCAATCAATTATGCTATAATTATTGGTTCAATATTATGAACCAGCTCGTCATCCTAAAAAGTGATAATAGGCGTATCAGTCGTGATTCATCGGCTTATATCTTTTTTTTCCTCCCAAATCCTAGATATTTATTGTTGTGCGTTAGAATCACAATTCGTACTCGCTAATCTGGGATGTTATGTTACGTAACTTAACAAAGTTCACGCCCTTCTTTTTTTTTTCTTTTTCTCCTTTCCTTAATCTGCGCGACATTCTTAATGTGAACTAGCGATCGTCGTTTTTTTTTTTTGCTTTTTTTGTTTTGTTTTAGGAACAAAGGGTTGCTATCAAAACTGCTAGCGCTGTGAAAAGTTCACAGTTTGGACACTAGCATAGGCAGTAAATTATAATGACTGCCTTTTTGAAGTCAAGTTTTAAAAAAAAACACCAATGTCGCTCATGTTGTCTCGCGTTACAATTAACCGCGTTACCGGTAACGTGATACTTTCTCGGTAACGTAGTAGCGTACTCGTTACACTCCAGAAAAGTAACGTATAACGTACTTACGTTACTTATTTCCAGAAACATAGAACGTATAGTTACGCTACTCGAAGATAGGCGCCGAAAAAACAAGGACAAGAAGAAACGTAAACACTGGCGTTACTAATTCCCAAACCTTAAAAAAAAAAATCGCATTTTAATTTTTTGTGTACTTTTAGGCGCAATGCAAGTCATGTGAATGCTTACGCTCATTCCACATACCTTAAAATCTTCGTCTCTCATAATTCAAATGAAACCAAGAAAAAAGATAGGTACGATAAGTACAGAATGGTCCAAGTCACCAGGCTCGATCTAAAATGGACCGTAAAAATCGAGCCGCGGCGCAACGCCTCATAGGTAACAAAGCCGTATAGGCTGAATGAGATAGCGTCATCAGAGAAGGCCGACGCAGGGCACAGATTGGACATGACGAAGTCGTCATTTCTTGAAACGTGGCGCTATATGTATGCCCGTCCCGTCGAAACAGTAAAACGTTCATAACTTAAAAAAGGTATCGTAAATGTAACGTGCGTTACTTTGTATCGGTAAGGTAACCGTAACGCGTTCCTCTTTCTCTTAGGTAACGTTGGTCGACAATTCGTTCCTTTAAGTCGCATGAAACGGGTAACGTATTCCGTTAATTTCTTTTCCGGTAACGCCTAGAACAGTGGGTCCCGTAACCAGTGTCGCACGATGTACGTTTGCAGGAAGAAAACACTTTCCCAACGCAACAAAATATGTTATCGATAAAACATTTATAATCAACTTTCGCCATACACGGTTTGCTTTTGTTTCTTTTTTGTTATCTAATTGTTCTTTCTTTTTTGCCTTTTTTTTTTTTGTCTTTTTTTTTTCTTTCTCTTTTTAGATTGTGGACGAAAGGAGGAAGCTGTTCGGTGGACTCACCCGAGGAACGGCCGAAGACGACACGAAAAAGAAGTCGACTCTGAGGGAGCGTCCACTGTCGCTCCTGGACTTCATGCTCGAGAAACACTTCTACGACAAGCTCTTCACCGTCGAGGAGATCAAGAAAGACCTCGACAGCGTCTTCTTTGCCGTGAGTTTGCTCCGTCTGAACTTGGCAGCTTCCGCTTTAGCGAGGGAAATTAATAGACCCTTTTCGAAAGTATGCCTTTTCTTGGAAACTGTGAAACCCCTTCGCAACGGCGGACGCAAAAAACCCGTACGCATAAACTAAAACCACAACGTCACGTCGCACCCTCCCCGTTTGGTTGAATTAGGAGGCAGTAACAGACCCACATACAAATACAGGAAGATCCATTGGTGGGTTCTTAGGGAATGGGTTAGTATGACCCTTAGACACGCCACACATGCCCGCCTTAGAGAAACGCTAACGCTGACCCCTTCATCGTTCCTTTTTTTAGTTTCTCTTTGGCTTCCTTTATTTCTTGCTGCCTTTTTTTTTTTTTTTTGCCTCATTACGGGGTCAGCGTTAGCGTTTCCCAAAAGGGGACGTGTGTGGTGTTTCCTAAGGGTCATGCTAACGGATCCCCTAAGAGTACACCAATGGACGTTCCTGTTTAAGTACGTCGACGCCCTTGGATGCGGTCATCCATGTCACTCGTGGAAAGGACCACATCCATACTACTCGTGGACGCAAGGAGGTTATAATGGGCAGGAGGTGGCGTCCCTATCCCCAATGCATGGAGCGAAGTGTAACGGAAGTAGGCGTGGCCACGAGCCGCAACGAGCATTTCTTGACCAATGGGAAACCTAGTGAGTGGGCGCCGCCATTAATTTCGGTGCAAACAACCGCGTTGCGATGACATTTCCGTGGCAACGCGACTGTGTGCACCGAAAGTAATGGCGGCACCCACATTTATTTGAAACAGCGCTTAACGGGAGACTTTTAAACCGGTATGGTCGGAATTGAATGAGATAAATGAACGCTTGGTTGCCCAGCAGAAATTAAGTGACTAGAGTTGAGACGCTCTACACGACGCACCGTGGAGGACTTGGCGGCGCGCAACGCATTTTTTAATAAACAGCAGCAGCAGATCGCACGAGCGCGCATGCAAGCCAGGAGCGCACAGAACAACGGGCTCGCGCTTCCAGTTCTGACTTCGCTCGCACATGATGTGGAACTAAGTATAAACACTCACGCTGCAAAGCATTTGCATCGTGGACGCCCACGGCGGACGCCGACCGCATCGAAAGCTAGCCTCGTGAAGCACACGCCGGAGCAGGTTAGAAAGCAGACGAACCGCCGGTGCGCTACCCCACGGCCTCGGAACGGGTGCGCAAGGCAGTCTGGGACGCCTCTTCCGGCTTCACTCAGGCTGACGTCATGCCGGGTCCTGTCTGTTTAAACGTCCTTGCGTGGAGGGAACCGCGTCCATTGTTTAGCTATACACAAACACACGCACACATCACAGCCCACGCACCGCTACTACGGAAACCCAAAGCGAAGAACAACCGGCGACGGCAGAGCGGCATCTGAGCATGCCCGTATTCCACCTCGCCGTGGCGCAACACCTCCCAGCTAACAAAGCCGTAGTGGTGAATGAGATGGCGTCATCAGAGAACACCGATGCTGGGCACAGATTGCACACGACGATTGCGTCAACGTTCGGCTCAAACTTGACTCAAAGCCGAGCGCTGACGCAGCATGCGCTTTTAATTTGTGTCCAGCGTTGGCCTTCTCTGAAGACGCCAGCTTATTCAGCACTACGGCTTTGCTATCTGGGAGGTGTTGCGCGGCGCAGTCTCCTCTCTGGCTCCGCGCCAGATATGCGCGTGCCTTTGACGAAAACAAAAGGTCTCGTTTTGACTTAATCCCGCCGGTGTTTACCAAAGCTGTATGTTAGGCTAGTTGGTATTGGTCTTGGGTTGCCAAAGGCATGGTAGCGCTTTTTTGGACGAGGACAAAAGAAAGAAAGACAAGACAGACACAGCGCTCGTGTCTGTCTTGTCTTTCTTTCTTTTGTACTCGTCCAAAAAAGCGCTACCATGCCTTTGGCAACCCAAGGTGTTTACCAGTTTGTCAGCGCCACGTAGAGAGGGAGAAGTTGGCGCGTGCTGACGTCAGCACTTCAGACCCTTGGGAGCTCAAACGAGTCACCCTCTCCCCCTCCTTCTCCCTCCCTCTAGGCGCTGACGAACGAAAGACTACGCCGGGTTTTCGTCAAAACGAGCGTTCTAATGATAACGCATTAAAAAAAATGAACGCAAAGGCGAAGGTTTCTGGGCGCTGTTTGCTTGACTTGTCGGTTTCTAGCTATACACGGTCCGACGTATAGAGTGAAACAAAGCATAAAAATGCTACTATGCGGAGCGCCAGTTCGTCTGCTTCTTGTGCATGGGGTTGCGGTGACGTCAGAACGCGCCGAGCTCTGATTGGCTCTGGTGGGAAAGATAGTGCGTAGGCCTCAATTCTATAGCTGCCTTGAGGTCCACCCACTATCCTTCCAATCGGAGCTTATCAGAGCTCGGTGTTCTGATGTCAGCGCAATTCTTGCGCAATAAGCAGACGAACTTCGCTGCGCATAGTGGCTGACAGCCTAAAAAACGCAGGGAGCGGCTTATTATCTTTACGCCTCTTGCTTCGTGATTCGTTCTTTAGGGCTCTTATCGGGTAATGTCACAATATCATTGGCTGAGGTGCGCTAATGTAATGCTCAGAACTCGCCCTGTGTTTCTTTAGCTGTCAGTGACACACACTACATACAATTCAACGGCTTTTTTTTTTTTTTTTTTTTGTAATTGCTTGCACGATTTTTTGTCGGTCTTTCAGCCACTGTGCAGTGGTTCCGACACCGTTCTAACAATCCGTACGTGACTTTCGAAAGGGGTTTGTACAAGGTTGCCATCCCGATCTTTTGCAATTTCATTTAAAATTAGGGATGCCGCGAACCACCCTAGGTTCGAATTCGAAAGGTTTCGATATTTTCGAACCGAACTGATGTTCGATATTGAAAGGTTTCGATATTTCCGACCCATAGAGTTATTATAATGTACGCTAGAGGTTCAAGTGGCGCTAGTGTGCTGACGCAAATTGAAGCAGACAACAACCAGTCAAAAATTGAGTTCCGGTAATGCATTTCTATGGGAAAAAGTGAGTGCATTTTCTCCCTGCGCTCGATCATAAGAGCAAATATCCCAAATAATTCGTACGTACTAGGTGGTTTGGAACATTTCTCAGTCAGGCCGACGAAAGAATTGGTCAGTTACGGCGTTTTTCTCTCGAATTCATTGCACTAAAAACGGTGCTGAAACGGATTCGTACGTGTATTTATGTGCACTGTCGGACACTGTTAGCGCGAACGCGGCGTCGGCGATTTCCAGCATGGGGGATATACATGCCAAACGAACGAAGGACATCTGGAAAATCAAGAGCGACAGCAAGAACTACGCAGCAACACCGGATCAGTAACTCGCAGTGCATGTACGATCAAAATAAATTGAAGGCCACGTAATCTATTTCGATTTTAAATAAGTGAGTAACGGCCGCTTTATCCTGAGCGAAGCTACGTGTTCTACGTTCAAAATATCACCCGCGCGCTAGACATTTTTGAGAACAAGTGCGCGATAAAAGCTGCTCGGCAGAAAAAACAATACGAAGAGACACCTTTCATATCCCACGGACTTTATTCTCTACGTTGAAGGTTTTTATCCGCTCATGCACGACGGGATCATTTTCATATGGTGACAGGACTGGCATATTATCAATATACAAGCGTCACCGTAATGCTGGCGAGCCTTGAACACACTCTATATTCGTTTCGATTGTAACTTTGCTTTGAATCATCGCTTGTTTTTACACACCTGCTGCGGAACACACGTTTGGGACTGAAATGCAGCGAAGTTAAACATCGCTCACTGATCAAGAAAAATGCGCTAAGTAAAGCAGTTACACTTTTACAATGTTTATTAAGACACATACTATTCGGTACGACCGAAATAACCAAAGTGTTCCATGTTATTTTCCGGCGAAGAGACAAAATGTACGCGGGTTTTCCCATAGGAATGCACAGGAGCACCGCAAAAGTAGACTGGTTGCTGTCTGCTTCAATTTGCGTCACGGAAGTCGCATAGACACTAGCGCCAGTTGAACCTCCAGCGTACATTATAATAACTCTATGTTCCGACCGTACGGAGGTTCGAAATAGAAAAATTCGAAACTTTCAAAAATCGTGGAGTTTCGATTCGGAAAGTTCGAAGCCTTCACGGTTTCTAAAAGTTTGGGTTCGATTATTTCGAATTTTTTCTTTTACTTGAGGTTCGAGAAATTCAAAGATTTTGAACTTTCCTAACTTGAAATTCGACAGATTCGAATGTTTAGATTTTTTATTTGAAATTCAAAAAATTTGAACATTTCGAATTTTCATAGACATAAAGTTCCATCAAATCGAAGATTTCGAATTTCTTTTTAGATAAAGTTTTAAAAGACCGAAGGTTTTGATTCTTTCTTAGGGCTAAATTCGAAAAATAACTTCGAAGGTTTCGAATTTCTTTCAAGTCTAAGTACGCAAAGTTCGAAGTCCGGTTTTCATGTTCCGCCAGTCTCAGTTTGAATAACGTATTCACGCCTCACTGGTTTTCACGAAATCAGGTTTAGAAAAGTTCGGGTGTAATATTCAGACTGCGCGAAGTTGGTCAGGCAATTAAATGAGACGACGAGTGTCCCGGATGTGCTGGAATATTTGCCAATGCAGAGTGACGTGTGACCATAGATCAGTAAATGTGACCGCCAGCCCGGGGGGGGGGGGGGGGGGGGGGGTCATTAACGTGCTTCACGAAGTAGTGATCACACGAACGCACTTTTTAACGGTACTCATCCAGTTCGAAACGACCAGGGGCAGGCAGGTGGTTGAGGCTCAGAAAAACCTTGAAGCGATCTGCAAACTGCCTCCCTACACCTTGCAGGCTGGTAGTAATCCGATTGAACGCTGCCCGACTGACGCTGGCATATGTAAGTTTAGTTTGTACATGATGCAAAATCTTGAGACTGGGATTGAAATTTGAAAGAAAAAGCGTAAGAAGACAGAAAAAAGGGGACAGGTCAACGCCTCAAACTCGGCTCTGGGAATTAAATTGGAAAGAAAAAGTGTAAGAAGACAGAAAAGAGGGAACAGGACAACGTCTCGAACTCAACTCAGCTGAGTTTGAGACGTTCTCCTGTCCCCTTTTTTCTTTCTTCGTACCCTTTTTCTTGCGAATTTCATTCCCAGTCTGGGGATTTTGCATCATGACCAACATACACCAGCTCGCCTGCACCTTGAAAATTTTTTTAGTTTGTAATTGCTTTGCAGGTTTATTTTCCGGGACGGAAAAAGTGCCGAGCAAAAACCGCAGAAACCGAAACAACTTGAGGTCGAGGAGCGTTCTACCATACCAGTAGTGTCGGAAGAGGAAAAACGGGGGGGGGGGGGGGGGGGGGGGGGGGGGGGGGCTCCAGTCTTTTCCCTTCCCCCCCCCCCCCCCCCCCCCGCGATATTTCGGACTGTTAAAGAAAACAATACTGGAAAAGACGGAATGGTCGAGCTTATTTTAATCTGAAATAATTTATGCATATGTATATCTACTGCCGCTGTTCACTGCATAAAAGATCGCGTAGATGGTCATTGTTAGAAACTCGTTGTCAATAGGCACTACTCGTCACATGCTCGGTGGTCCGGTAGTTCAAAGCTATGTCTTTTCGACATAAATAACTGTGCCATTGGTAAAAAATAATAAATAAATAAACATAACAACAAATGCAAAAATAAAAAAGCTGAAGAGGAAAAAAAATATGAAGAACCCGCCGAAAGTGTTGTATTTTTGCATATTCAGAGGCCCAGAACTACAAAAAAGTTTCTCCTGCCAAAACCTGTACATGCTAAAAGAAACACGTCCCAAAAATGTAAAAAAAAAAAAAAAAAAAAAAACTAAAAGTTTTTTTGTTTTTTTTTATGACGTGAACAATTTTAGAAATCTTCCGCGGTGAGTTAATTTATTCCTCAACGTGAAAAAACAATAAATACATTATTTTGTATTCTGCAGATGGTAATGTTATGTACTGTCTGTGGCATTAATTTAAATGCTATACCTCAAACACTTTAGACGAAAAAAATTTCCAAGTTTAGGGCATAATTGCCCGCAGATACATGTTTGGATATTTCTTCGAAACTCGTCTTGAACAACAATTATCATATCTTAAGACGACACCTACCTAGGCTATCTATAGGACATTCTTAAAAAATGTTAACATCTCTACCATAAATATCTTCAGGTGTAGCGCGCTTCAAATATGGCACAAACGACAATTGTCAAAAACCCGTCGTCCTTCCTCGCTCCTCCGGGAATTTATTTATTTAAAATCAAGCATGCCAGATGATTGAAATACACGGCATTGTTTTTCGCAAGGAATGCGACAGCGAATGTAAAAATTCGAGAAAAAAAATGTTACGAATGTACTATCGCGGACAACTTTGAGTTGAAACAGCACTCCGGCCTGTTCGCGGTACTACCTGCGCCGCCTGTCGCATCGCTCCGTAAACACGGTGCACCCTAAGGATGAGATAAATTCTCATTTGCGCTCATTGCGCCGCTGCGCTCTTCCGGCCGTCTGCTAGCGAAAATATTGGCCGACGGAACCACCATCACGATGCGTGTGCAGTGTAGCCAAATGTTCATGTTTTCAGCTAACATGCATTTAGTGCATATCAAGAAAGCGCCGAAGTGGAAAATGCGTTGTCATGCTCGTATCTCCTCGAAGCGCGCCGCCTGACGAAGCTGCCTTGGCCCCAAAAAGGGGCCGATCTGAGTATCATCGAACACGTTTGGAGGCGCATCAAAGTAGCCACGTCACGGCGTCCCCTTCACCGCGCCACTGCTCACAAATTGTGGAAAGCAATGAGATGTGAATGGAAGTGGCTTCGGGCCGAAGCCAGCCTTCGTGGCCGCGCTCTATATTTTCTTACCATACAGGGGCCCTAATCTGGACACTTGGCGGAAAAGTCGGCGAGAAATTCGGCGGCTATGATTGGCCGGCGCCGAGGTCAAGTGTGGCGTTGGCCAATCGCGGCCGCCAGGTTTCTCGCCGTCGTTTTCGCCAAGCGTCCAGCTTAGGGCCCCAGGATGAGAGCCGTGGTCGCGGGTCTGGGGAGAATGACGTGGTATTCTTTTGTAAGTTTTACTGGGCCTCAGGACACCCTGAACCGGACTTCTGCCGATTGTAACAAAGCTTGATGCTACGGTTGCGACACACTTTTTGACGCCGTTAACCAGCGCATAGTTTTGCGTGGTGCCTCCTTGATCCCGATCATCTTGTATAGTGTAGTTAAACTTCCACACCGACTATTTATCTTTTGTGTCTGACATTGTCCTGTGCGAACATTTTTTCGATGAAGTTTCATGCTCCGTCTCCTGGCAAATATATGACTGCATGCCCACTTTATAAAGACTATAAATTTGTATATAAAACACTGGTGTCTTGTTAGCAACTTTTGTTCGAAACAAACACGTGGGCCCAGTAATAAAGAAATTATATTTTTCTTTTCATACCAGTCAAGGTTACAAAACCTCAGTAACATGTATGGTTACTGTTTTTTTTAACCAGCTGTGATCAAGGGGAAAAAAAGTAAATACCTTGGAGATGTCCTACTTTCTGCATGCACCTAATCAAACAAAAACAACCTGCAACGTATTTTGATGTGAGTTTAAAAACGATTATGCAGCTGCAATTTAAGATACTGAAATAGTTTTTCTTCAGCAGTCAGCGTTTTGTCTACGAGATTTTACGCGATAGAGTGAAGTAAATCAATTCCAACAGAGGGACGACAAGTATAATATTGTGTCCCCCCCCCCCCCCCCCCCTTCCTTGCCACCCTACCACATACCCGCCCGCTGTCGCACCCGCCGTCTCGCTTGCAGACGGCCGGAAGAGCGCAGTGGCGCAGCGAGCGTAAGTGATAATTTACCTCGGCCTCAGGGTGCGCTGTGTGTGCGGAGCAAGGCGACAGGTGGCGCAGGCAGTACCCTCCGGCGGCCGCAGCGCTGTTTCAGCTCATATTGTCCGCGATAGTACCTCACTGCTTGAAGTCAGAGGAAACCGCCCGCCGGTCTTTCGAAGTTTGACGAACTTCGAACTTTTACACTAAAAGTTCAAAGTTCCCGAACTTTGGAATTTTCAGGAATCGAAAGTTCGACGATTTTTGAATTTTTTAGATAAATAAGTTCGAAAGTTCAAAAATTATCAAATTTCTTAGCGTACGATGTTCGAAAAGCTTCGAAGTTTTTGGTGCAAGAAGGTCGAAAGTTCGAAAATCATCAAATTTCTTAGTCTATCATATTCAAAAGTTCGACAAGCATCGAATTTTGCAGCGTAATAAGTTCGAAATTTTGAAAGCGCCGAACTTTTTAGCTTAATAAGTTCGAAAATTAGACTTCCGTCGAATTTCTCGATAAGGAAAGTTCGAAAATTTGAAATCTTTCGAACCTCTCGAACCGCTTCATTCGATCATCGAACCTTCGGTTCGAGAAAAGTTCGCGGCACCCCTATTTAAAATGCCTGCTGGGAATTTTCCCGTAAAGCTAGGGCTGATCTAATCGTGGAATGAAAGGATGGCGTATAACCAGTGCCGCCGATAAGCAAATAACGGTTTGACTAAAATTTAAAAAAGCGATCTTCGCGGCACACAATGAACAATACGAGTCGACACTGATGGAGATGAGGAGATGAGAGCGTGCGGGGGCGCCAGCACACCGAGCTCTGGTTTGAATCACTAGTGGGTAGACGCCAAGCTGGCTGTCTTTGGCTCTACTCACTGTATGAACGCGTTCGAACGCGAACGCTGAATGCCGGGCGCCAGCGTTCGGCTCTCGAAGGCGGTGAAAGTGTGAGTAGCGACAAAGTCGGCAAGCTTCGCGACTATAGTCGGTGACAGGTCAAGAGCAAACTGGAAGCTCCTCCCACCTCTTTCCACTCTAGTAGTACGAACGCTGGAAAGAAGGTGACCTCCTCTCCATCGTTCATTCCGCTGAAGTGGAAAGGAGTGGAAGGAGCTTCCACTTCGTTCTTGACCTGTCACCGGCTATAATAATTCCAATCAGAGCTCGGTCTTCCGACGTCCCAGCGCGCATTCGTAACCTCCTCTCCCTCAGTTTCTACCCGTATATAAACGTCCTGCTCGTCCTCCTTGCGCCCGTTCGGCCGAACCGACGTTTGCGCCTCGTATTTTGCTAGATGCGCTTCGTAGATTGCAGTTATTGCCATTTACTCTGCGGAAAAAGTAGATGTGTACCCTTTTTTTGTTTGTTTCTTTAAGTGTAGGGCCTATGTTTTTCTCTCTTCTCTTGATGGTCTATTCTTTATGCGGAGCGCAAGTTGGTCTGCTTCTTTTTCAGGGCAGTTGTGTTGACGTCAGAACGCCGAGCTCCGATTGGCTCCCGTTGAAGGATAGTGGTAGACCCTAAGGCAGCTTGCTTTGAGGTCTACCCACTATCCTTCCAATCGGAGCCAATTGAAGCTCAGCGTTCTGACGTCAACACAACTCCCCTGCAAAAGAAGCAGACGAACTGGCGCTCCGCATTTGTTCTATTTTACAGGCGTAAAAAAATTCAATGGGAATAAACTACGTCAATGTACCTATTCCACCAAATGTAAATTGTTTATGGCTGTACATATCTGGTGTTTTTCTGGTTCACAGCGTATGCAATGCTTTGAATTCAACTTAGACGGTCCGCAAAAATCGGTTTTTCAACATATCGGGCTGCAATTATCAACAAATATCAACGAATAAACTTACCTCGTTAAAAGAAACAAAAAAAAAAAGAACCTGTTTCGGGAAATGTACGGCTGTATTTTGCCGACGGCACTCATCGTCTGCAAAACGCTGTCGTAGATTGCCCCAAACAGGTTCTTCTTTTCTTTTCTGTCTCGAACGAAGTAAGTTAATTTCTTGATATTTTCACTCCAAACTTTCACCACCTTTGTATTAAGTCGAAGCGCGATACATTGAGAAACCAATTTTTGCAAGGCTTCTAAATTGGGTTTGAATCCTTGGTGTACACGCTGTATTACTTAACATTTCCAGGCCAATGATACCACGTCTACGGCACTCAGCTGGATGATGTACCTGTTCGGACTTCACCCGGACAAGCAAAGAAAGGCCCAAGACGAAGTTGATAAAATCCTAGAAGACGACCCCGGTCGAGACTTCACCTTGGAAGACGTCAAGAGAATGAAATACGTCGATTACTGTGTGAAGGCAAGTATTATTCAAACAGCACCGTAAATCTCAAAGCCCATTTCTATTGATTGTTTTACGCTAGGACGGCTAAACATTGCAAGCACGTTAATTTTATCTACACCATCTTTTAAACTCTTGCAACAGTGCATTAATGGTTAGTACACCAAGAAGTGCAGGCAAAACGCACAATACGGTGTCTCACTTGGAAAAAACGGCCTGGAGTTAAACAAATAATGAGTAAAAACGCAGGCGACCTGGTGAATCATGGCCATGCATCAACTCGAAACAATGCGTACGTTTGTCCCTTTTTTTCAGTTTCGGATTTAAGTGTATACATAAAATTAAAGTTTGAACTTCGTTCATCCCCAAACAGGGTGAACAACAAATGTACCGAGTATTCAGTTGGTCAACATTCAGACCATTACGCAGTTTTAAACCCCAAATTAGAAGTCATCCTAAATGAGTTTGATTCAGTGTTATTAGGAAGTCAATTCTTGTTAAATGTTTCAAATCGAACATCAAATTATTCAAACTAAATTGATTTTGAATTTAGTTTTCTTATCCTACGGTAAAACAGCGAATATCAGAGAGCGCCCATTGTGGTGCAGCCAGTAAATATAAAATGCTTTGTGTCCTCTATTCCAGGAGTCCTTGAGACTGTACCCGTCCGTGCCCTTAATTGGAAGAGTTTTGGACAACGATCTCGTCATTGGTAAGACTGAGCTTAATCTACTATATTGTATATCATTCCCCGTGGCAGAGACGTGGCCGTAGTGCCTGAGCCGGTAATTAGTCAGTGACAACTGAAATGTGGATGGGCCCGCTACAGAGTGTATCGGTCACTGTGAATCGTTTTCAGCACCCGTACTTATACTTATACTAAAAAAAAAGAAAGCTCGTTTCTTAGGTATGGTACCTAAAGGCCCGTTCACACTCTTGCGACCGAGTACGACTGAGGGAGATGAGATCTCTTACAACTTCTTAAATGTTTCTAGAATGAGGGAACACACTGACATTGTGGCGCCATCTATGCGGTGACCCTAGAACTGCATTTCACAAAAGCGAAGGTTTTGCGGGATTTCCGAGGTCAAATGTGCGTAATACCCATAGAAAGGCTCGTTTATAACATTGACAAAAGTTGTTCGAGCCAAAAAAGAAAGGATATTGCGCGGGAAATAAAAAAAAAAAATATGCCGGACCGCCGAGTTTACACTGCTTCCCAATGGATGGCGCCGGTGTGTTCTCTGGTTTAAGAAGTTTTAAGGAATCCAGGTTTAAGAGGTCGCAAGCAGTCGCAAGAGTGTGAACGGGCCTTAAGAAACGAGCTTTCTTTTTTTTTTTTTTTTTTTTTGCTTTTTGCTTTTTCATGTTTTACAGCTCTTAAATGGCGGTGGCATGAGTCATTTTTGTGTGCCGAACAAGACTTCATTATTGGGACCCATTACATAAATTGTACATACTATGGACTTATACTCAAAACTAACGAAGCGCCGATTAGAACAAACTATATGCGTCTACAAGTATAATCCTTACAAAATTATCAAAAGAACGACTCACACATCATGTGGAATGTAGTGTTGCTAACTGACCTTTTGGGTTCACATTTCTGCAAAATATCCTTGGTAGTTAAATGTGCACTAAAGATGTTTCTGAAATCGTCTGTTCTTGGTGATAAGTTATCGTATGAGCTCGAAGCATCCTAGAAATCTAAAAGTTGTGCTTGTGCGGCGTGTATTTCCCTACAAAAAAGGTGATAGAAATTCGCGCCGCGCCCCTTTCTGTGCGGAAACATCTGGAGCACAAAATCCAGCGGAGGCGCCGGCGGCGCCCCCGCTGCCGCCGTTTCTGCTTGCAAGTGGCTGACGCGCGCCCGTCCTCACGCCGCCGGCGCTTCCGCCGAATAGACGATTTGCAATTTTCCCAAGCGCCCCGGCCCGCGCGAGAGGAATTGTGGGAGTGACTGCCCCTCGCCTGGCCGCTCTGCCTTGAGTTCGCATTGCCTTGTCGCTTGCCTCCTCTTAATCCTCTGTTTTTCGATTCCATTAGCTTTTTTTTATCTATTTCAGTTCATTTTTTATGGCTTCAAAGTGTTTCTATTCTCTTCTGTGCGCAATATTTCTTGTATATATAGGGAGGTTCAAGTCACCAGGCTCGATCTAAAATGGACCGTAAAAATCGACGCCTGCACGTAGCAGTCTAAACTTTTCGTCAAAGGTGTATTTCACATGTCATTTTTTTTTTTTCTTGTAAAATTACAACGCGTAGTTTTCTTTCTGTAAAAAATAGGCCAAGAAACTTGCCAGGGTCTACGGCGGGCAGCGACGCAGACGACAGAGGTTCAGTGGTGGGGTGCGTTTGGCGTTCGTATTGATAGATGGCGCTACCTCCTTATCGCGACGGCTTGCGACCACCGTGGTTGATTAAAATGTACATAATCTTTTTGAAATGTACGTTCGGTTAAAAAAGAAATGCGGACAATAAAAGTAACATTTAAAGTAAAAAAACAGGCGTCTGCATAACGGCGGCGCTTTTGCTGTCAACGGATTTCGTATGCGTGTCGTCTGCTTTCTTCCGCTGGTCGGCTGCACCCAACGTTACTAAAACACTCAGTTGGGAAACTCCCATAGAGACAGCCCTAAAAATATGGCCCCAATCTGTCTCCGAGCACCGAGCTAATGACGAACACAACGCCACCATTTCTCCCGCAGCGGCCACTCGAGAAACTGCACGTGACTTCTATTTTTGGCTTTGACAGGGGTGAACCCCCGTATCCCCGGCGGACGCGCCGCGTTGAACCACTGAAGTTAAAATGCACCTAGGTCGGGACGCGCTACCTGAAAGGCCCGCTGAGGCATGGTTTTATAAAATCAATATTAATTGTTCCGCAAAACCTTGCGAACTAAAGATAATAAAAACATCACGCGCCCATAATTTGGTACTAAACTCCAATAAATTTCATACAAAAAGAGTCTTTTCCGTTTGTTTTTACGCAAAAAACAGGCTTTCAGAAAGCTCGAGGTGACCACAGTACAGACAAACGATAAAGCGTGGCGCTGTTGTCGCATTTAGCTCGGTCTCGGTGGACGCCAGCGGCCCAGGTTTCGACGGCGAGTTTCCCAACTGAGTGTTTTAGTAACGTTGGCTGCACCTTCGGACGCCATCTATCAATACGAACGCCATACATACCCTGCTACTGAACCTCTGTCGTCTGCGTCGCTGCCCGCCGTAGACCCTGGCAAGTTTCTTGGCCTTATTTTTTACAGAAAGAGAACTACGCTTTGTAATTTTACAAGAAAAAAACCGACCTGTGAAATACGCCTTTGACGAAAAGTTTAGATTGCTACGTGCAGGCGTCGATTTTTACGGTCCATTTTAGATCAAGCCTGGTGACCTGGACCACCCTATATATAGTATTTGTGTCGTTATTTTGCCTTTTTCGAAGGGAGTGCCGACGGACAACACGCCGCTTCGCGAGTCGTTCCCCGGGTGAGTACTACCGTTGCTACCGATTCCTATCGCGCTGTTAGCTGTTCATTTTAGTTCATTTGACCCGCGTTCATTTGAGAGGAGCCGTTTATCAACACCCACGCACATGTCATAGGGGTAGGCAGAGCTCTAAATCAACAATCGTGACGCGAAAGCCGAGTTCGCTGCGATTTGGCCGCCCGCGCTCGCTCCGTTGACTCGCACCGTATCGTGTGCCTTCGAGTGCCGCTTACTTTACTAAGATGCAGCACGCCACTTTGCCGTCGCGATTCATTGGTCCGAATGCCTGCGAAACCGTAACACCGTTCGTCAGATCCAACGCTGTGGCGCCTGAAAACCGCACGCAGCGGCTCGAGCCATTAGCAAGCGCCGGCGGTTCAACGTCGCGGCTTGTATGCGCCTTTGGCATGCATTCATAATCAGTCTGCTCGGTGGTTGCCAGTTGCCAGCGCCCTTTTTAAAGTGTATAGATTTGTTGCCACCCAAGCAAACACCTTGAAAGTTGTAGTTCCTTCGACAATTTTATTTTGCAAGACAAGATGTCAGCTCAAGGTGTACCTCTTACGTTACTTTGGGTTGAAACTACGAGTTTTAAGATGACAGCCTGGGTGACAACACATCTCTGCACTTGAAAGAGGTTGTTTGCAACTGACAACCGCTTAGCAGATAGATTAAGAAGGCATACCGTAAGCGCATACAAGCCGCGACGTTGGGCCACCGGCGCTTGCGAAGGGCTCGCGCCGCTGCGCGCAGTTTGTCAGGCACCGCAGTGTTGGATATGACGAACGGTGTTACGGCTTCGCAGCATTCAGACAAATGATTCGCGATAACACATCTCTGCCCTTGAAAAGGGGAGTTGACAACTGACTGCGCTTAGCAGATAGATTACGAAGGCATGCCGTAGGAGCATTCAAGCCGCGACATTGAGCCGTCGGCGTTTGCGAAGGGATCGCGCCGCAGCGCGCAGTTGTCAGGCGCCGCAGCGTCGCATATGCCTCAGCTTCGCAAACATTCGAACGAATTGTTCGCGGCGAAAAAGCGGCGTGCTGTATCTTGGTCAAGTAAGCGGCACTCGAAGGCATACGGTATACAGTGCGAGTCAACGGAGCGAGCGCGAGCGGCCAAATCACAGCGCACTCGGCTCTCGCGTCGCGATTGTTGATTCAGAGCTCTGCCTACCCCATGTGCGCGGGTGTTCATAAACGGCTCTTCTCAACTGCACGCGGGTTAAATGAACCAAAATGAACAGCTAACAGTGCTATAGGAATCGGTAGCAACGGTAGTACTCACCCGGGGAACGACACACGAAGCGGCGTGTTGTCCGTCGGCACTCCCGTCGAAAAAGGCAAAATAAAGATACAAATACTAGATATGTAAACATTTTCGACGGACATCATACAAGAAATATCGCGCGCAGAAGAGAATAGAAACATTTAGAAGCAATAAAAAATACAGTGTAATAGATAGAAATAGGTAATGGAATCGAAAAACAGAGGATTAAGAGGAGGCAAGCGACAAGGCAATGCGATCTCAAAGCAGAGCGGCCAGGCGAGGAGCAGTCTCTCCCACAATTCCTCGCGCGCCAGCCGGGCGCTTGGGGGATTTCGCAAAAGGGCTATTTGGTGCTCTAGATTTCTCCGCTCAGAAAGGGACTGGCACGAACTTGGATATCACAATTTTAGCAGGGGAAATAGACGTCGCACGAGCATACTTTTTCGATTTCTGGGATGCTCAGATCCCGTAGAGTGAGTTATCACCATGGACAGACGATCTCAGAAACGTCTTTAGTGCACCTTTAAGGTCTGCGCCCACTCTGAGCAGCGACCTTTCAACTGCGCGCCCACACTCTTTACCGTTCCGACAGACGGCCACGTCGTTCCCAAAGGAGTGACCTGCATGGTGAACATCTTCACCCTGCAACGCAATCCCAAGGCCTTCCACAAGCCGGAAGAGTTCATTCCAGAAAGATTTGGGACGGAAGAGTACAGCAACAGGCACCCTTACAGCTACATCCCCTTTTCCGGAGGTCCCAAAAACTGCTTAGGTAAGCTGATGTTGCTTCTCTACTTTCCTCCTACGTATACACACTGAAACGCTCCTGCATGTATAAGGTGTCCGCAATAATAATCCATTTATTTCTATAACATGATGGCGGGGACCGAGGGGAAAAAAAACTGCCTACAGGCAGCTTGACGAGCCCTCGGCTCCCTTAAAGTGGCAGACAAT